GAGAGAGAGAGAGAGAGAGAGAGAGAGAGAGAGAGAGAGAGAGAGAGAGCGATTTCTGCTTGTATATGTGTGACTGGTGTGTGTTGTGCGTGTAAATGTATGTGAGTCATGTGTGCATAGACACACATGTGCCCAGTGAGGCATCAGGACCAAAAGATTCAGCCTTGATTTATATGGTTAGTCCTGTTGCCATTTTCTTTCATTCTTCACCCATTCAGCAGGGATAAATCCAGTTAAGTGATTCAGATGTTTAAAAAAGACATGCACCTTCAGAGATAAGATTTAATGCTGGATACATTCATGTCTAAGAAACCCACAATGCTAGTCATCATATCATTCATCCAAACAGCAGAAGAACTTCACGTCATTCAGTGCAGTGTCATCATCAATGCCTTGTGGAACCTCCACCTTTGTCTGGAGTCCACAAATAGAGGTACCGGAATTACAGAAAGGGCTCCATGGGCCAAAATGGCCCCATCTGTGGGAGTTGCCCCTCAGCATTGTCCCATCATTGCATATGAAATAGATATTGTTGGCTCCTGTGTCATCCCCAAGGCCTTGGGGGATTTCAATTCTCAGAGCAAAGGACACCAGTTTGTATGGTTTCGGGCAATAATGAATCTCAGTCCAAGCACCCCACCTGCCAAGGAAGACAATGAGTTTGACTTCAGAAATACGTTCAGATTGCAATGCCAGCTGCATCTTCAACTCCTGAAACCTGTGAGAGGATGAATCATGAGCACATATGAACTGCAGTGCAGGATCAAAAACAACGGTTGCATCCATGTAGAGCTCCTTTGATCTACAGTGGGAAGATTTAGAAGGTTTCGTAGCTTGGGGTAGTTCATTGGTGGAGTATTCTGAAAAGTGCCTATCTCCTGCCATTCCACTAGACCAAAGTATGCCATTTCTGGAATCGGCTGCTTTGGCTCGCAAGTTCCGTAGCCTCAGAGAGAAGCACAACATGTGTCCTAGCTTTGCTTCTTTGGAACAGTGAGAGAGGGAGAGCCACATGAAAAACACAGCAACACTAAGGGGAAGGGACTATAATGTCTGGACTATCGTGATCTTGGCAGGAGTTGGAGTTGTTTCTTACATGGACAAAAAAAATCCACTCCTCAATACCAAGATGTTGCCTTAATCCTATGGGTGTTTATAGATATGTAGCAGATGGGAAAAAAATTCTTATGGGTCACAGATTCATTCAGGATGAATTATTTCTCATTCCAGCTCATTTGTCTTCATTATTCATAAGAGTAAAATGGTGAAGATATTCCCAGTTTGCTGGGTCATATGAAGTCAGTTCTTAGGAAGATAATGAGAATACAGACCTGATGTATTTCACTGGTGCTGACTGAGCTTAAGATTCTTCCAGAGGCTGGTGGCCAGCATGTCAGTTCAGAGGAAGTAGGCTCTGTCCAGGTGTGTGGTCCGTAGATAGTAAGTGCTCTGAACCAACATACCAGCTGGCAATAAAACTGAGACACCTCCTTTCCATTGCAATTGCTGTTAATAGACTCAGGGTAGGGTGGCCAGATATCCCCCTTTAAAGAAGACCATCCTCTAATCTGAAGACTTGGCAGAGGAGAGTGCTGCATTAGAAACTGATTGTCCTCCGTTTGATAAACTGTTCATTCCAAGTCTGGTGTAAATTCAGCATATCAACAAGGAGGAGAACCTTGAGGACCTTGAAGCTGCCCATCCAATGACAGCACCGGACTGCAGGGCACACCATCACTGCCTCTTAGTCTTGCAAACTCTACTGAGATGCACAGTACTTCTGCTTAAATTATAGGCATTATGTCTACATTTGTACCTATATGTATACATTTGCATATGCAAATACTATCCTCTGACACAATACTTATTTTTGGGCAATTCATAAGTGGACACCCCAAAACATCATAGGCACAGGGCACTCGACTATTGCTAGTGATGGCTAGTCAAATCCAAAGAGCTACTTACTGCCCAAATGCAGATGAAACGAATGAGTTATCTTTGCAGATCAGGCGAATGCCATTCAGGGATGTATCATCTTCCGCCTTTTCACCACCTTGATAGGGCTCCACCTGGTGCACAAGAGAGAAAGGCTGTGAGAAAGCTAGGCATCAGGACAAGGAGGACACTGGGGTAATTTCTCTGAAGGCAACGATAACATTCGCAAAGAATAAACTTCATTGAGAATTACTCATTCATGCCAATTCATAGAAGACATTCAAAAGCCTAAATGAACCATCCTCTTTGGCTTTAATGTTATTTGATTTCCAAGCTCATAGAGGAAGCTATATGAGCTTCATTATGCAGGGCAGTATTTCAAACACAGTACATCCAAACAGAGGAAAGTGAACATTTTGGGAACAGGGATGGGGAGAGATTCTGGGAAGAGTCTGAATTGTGCTAAAGCATGGTGTAGGTTCAAGTAAGTTAAAAGGAGACACTCTTAGTAAATAGCCACTATAACAATCCTTGCTTGTCCTTCTGTCCTGGAACTGGATGTTCTGGATACTGAAGGCTTAATGTGGTAGACCGGCATGTTCCAGGCTTGCTGGATTTTCAAATTATGCACTGGCTTTGCCTTGTAGCTTGTATTTCCTTTGCTAGCTAATGGTTCTTTCTAAGTCCAGGTGCCCACACAGCCACACTGTATGTTTGCTAGGACGGCAACTTAGCCTCTGAAAATGGAGTGACATTCCAGCCATTTCTTCTGCAAATGTGGGAGCAATTCTGGAAATGTCCAGGAAGTGTGGATTACCATGAAAGGCAGCGTTGCTCACTTATCACCCTTACTCTTTTAAATATAACTCCTTGGTTTGCATGAGCGGTGACAGAACTGTGGGATCAGAGACCCAAAGAAACTGTGAAGGCATTAAAAGAGCCACCCATAGGAAGAAAAAATGCTCTAGAAATGGGTTTTATGGTTCTTAATTCCTAGAGCTTCTTTGGAGAAACCTAGGAAGCAGGCAAAAACCGGTAAACCATGAACACAACTTCTGTGGCAGGAATTATAGATGCCGTTGCTACTGTATACTTCTCTCTTTTTCAGCAGCAGCAGCTGCCACAGGCCATGTGGCTTACATGTCTGTTCTAAACTCACTGTCACAGATGGTAGATTAAGATTTCTACTGCTGAGGAAGGGCTGTGATGCAGTGCAGAGCAAGTGCTTTGCATGCAAAAGATTCAGTTGTTGATCTCTCCAGGTAGGGCTGGGAAAGGCTTCTGTCTGAAAACCTGGAGAACAGCTCACACTCCGTGTTGACTATACAGAGATCCCTCTTACCTGGCATAATACAGCACCCTAAGTTTTACCATTATCCTACGAAGGACAAGGAAAGGCTCAAGTTCCACCTAGACTTCCCATCGCTAGCCCCTTCACAAATTACAATTCCCAGGATGCACAGCAAAGCATCATGCAAGTGAACGTGATGTAAAACCAGTATAGATGTTTCCAGTGTTGTTGCATTATTGCCAAGTTCTGGAATTGTTTTGTCATCTATGAACCACAGTAACTAGTTCACAATTCCCTCTGAGGAAATGTGGAAAGAAACAAATGCAGAAATGCCAAAGATAATTATTCAGCATAAGGTTGTCTGCAAAGCAGGTTTCACAGCAGGTGTTACCTTGAGTGCAAAACCGATCGCAGAACCCTGAGCACAAAACGCTTTCTTTCCCCAGTGACCCCATGGCCCTCCATTTTGCACTGCGAGGATGGATTCGTAGCTTCGAGCCTCTGCATTCCAGAGGTAGCAGAAGAGGGTCAGGAAGATGGTGGCACTGATGGAAAAGACCATTTTGGCTACTCCCTCCGGCTTTTGCTGTAGAAACAGGATTGAATAGTAGCCATGAGAAGGCGTAGTCTGAGGGTTAGCCCTCCTACCAACAGCAGCAGGCTGTGCCCTTCCCTGTCCCTGACAGGGCTCTAACTGCTTGGGCATCATATACATGTTAAGGTCCTACACTCTGCACTGGCGCAAAGCTTCTGGGGCACTCCATTTTCATTGTTGTGTAAACAGGCAATCTCATACTTGGATTCTACTAGCACAAGCCATTGTTTTAGCTAATATGAAAGTCCTTGAATGAACTGTTCTACAATCCATTGCCCAAGTCATCACACAAATTACTGTACCATTAACTATAACTTCATTAGACTAAGTTTTGCTTTTGCTATTTCAGATTTGTGGAATGCATTGACCGAATGTCACAGAGGTCCTCCATTGTCTCCTTAGAAGAGTGTTCTGCTTGCCTTTTTTTGCATCAAAGCTCCACGCACCTTCTTGGAACCTATTAAAGAAAACCCAGACCATGATCTTCTCCATTCTTAAGCACTAGTTTGGTTGTGAAGTTTAGGGGAAGGTTATGGAACAGAAAAATTTAGTACTAAAATGCTTTTTAATATTTACTGATGCACACACCAGTAAATTATTTACCTGCCATATGAGACTTATTATAAGGACAGTGCAAGTGGATTTTCCACACACTTTTCAGAGCTAAAATACTGATATTACAACACTGGAGAGATAAATGCCCACCTCCCATAACACAGTGGACTGAGGACCTAATGAGGCTTTCAATGTTTGAACAGGTGATTCAACATAGGTTCCACCAGAGAATGAATATTAGGATATTTTCTGAAGCTTATGTTCTTATGTCATGAAGCTTATCTTTTCCGCTGGTATTGATCATACTTACATATTCTTATGGACATACATTTCATACGTGTATGTTGTAGATGAGTTGGTTTATCTTCCATAAGAACAGCTTTTCCCCCTTTTATATGGTGTTGTTTACTTTGGTGAAATTCACATTAAAATCATAATAAAATGGTTTGGTTGTCATACTGGGCAACACTTTGCAATGTCCTGAAATGAGTGGGGCATTGTGGTTTTTGTAGGCTGATATTGGTGGGGTAGGGCCTAGGGGAGAAGCACTGGAATAAAGGAAGATGCCCCCTCTGCAGCCCCCCACAAGGGGGCCATCTTTTAGCTTAAAGAAACTCTGGTATCTTGGAAAAGTCCCTGCTGAGCATGTACAGATCACTATTGCCTTCACTCTGAATTGTCACACCAGGGCCAGCTCTACTTCTGGGCAAAGGGAAGCATCAGCCTCAGGCAGCCATTGCTGGGGAAAAGGTGTCACAAGGTCTTGGAAGACAGAGCTGTGTGTGTTGTGCGACCCAGCGCCCTAACTGTACCTACTGGGTTCAGGGGCGATGCATCTCCAGAGCTGAATGGAAATTCGACTCCCTGTCTGGTCACTTTTCTACATGGAACAGGAGGAATGAAACCACCTTGTCCTTCATCCCAGGTAGCAAAATTTCTTTGGTCAGCCCTGGATTAAATATATTTGCCCCCTTTTGGACTGATCCCCCTTCTAATTGCCAAAAGGAGATGCCTTTTGGTCCTTTTAATGATGTTTGTGAAACGTGCCTCGTAGCTATTGACTCTGTCAGGTATAAAGATTTTTAGAACATCACAACTAGAGCTTTTCCTCCTGGCTTTACTGCAATCAAGTCTCACTTGTATATCAGTCTGGCTGGGCTGTCATTCTTGCCCTGCCTTCTCACCTCAGCAAGCTGCTCCCAACAGGACCATGAAATTCTACTTACAGTCTCACACAAGCCAGATATCCAGCATCCAGAAGAAGAAAGACCCTGTGCGAAGCAGTGAAACAAGGTGTGGGCAACAGCCGTGATCAAAGGCCAGGCAAATGACGTGGGAGCTGTTCTGCAGCACAGCTCCTGCCATGCTCCGGTGGCCCATCAGTGACCAGAGCAGGAGATAAGCTATGGAACCACCTATGCTTCACTGGTTCCCTTCAAGAAGGGCCTCAAAAAAAAAAAAAAAAAGCCAGCTCACATTCTGGGCTGGACAGGGATGGCTCTCTGGCTTGCAAGGGCATCATTCCAGGTTTGGGATCTGGGGATGTCAAATCTTCTAAATCCAGCACTGTGCAGATTGCTTTAGAGCAACACTGAGAACCTGTATTTCTATTGAACTTAACACTCCCTTGGAGCTGATCCATATGCTGACAGTGAGCACAATCAAAGCTAGAAGTGAGAAAGATCTTCTTTACGAAAGCTACAGATGAACAGGAAAAAGTTCAAAGGGGAGCAACAAAGATGATCCAGGAACTGGAAACCAAAACTTAGTTCATCCAAAAGTAACTTCAGCACCTTTCCCAGGATGGGAACTTTAGTCATCAAACAATAATATTTTAGCATCTTTCTAATCCAAGCTAGGTTGGATAATTACCTCTTTAAAGATACCGGGATTATTCCCTTTCTCAAAGAAACAGACATTCAGCCTCACTTCCCCTTCTTACTAGATTACCGCTTGAGGGGTAAGGGTCAGTCCACATACTGCTCAGTCCACATGGACTCAGCTAAGCATCTTGTCCATATCTCATGCTCAAATGACTAAAATCAGCCAGCAAAACCAGGCTAGAACCTCTTCTGCAAAAGTCCAATAATGACCCTGCACAGCACAAAGTCCAAGTCACGATGAATACAAATGACTCTTCCACAAAGTGTCTTGCAAATGATTCACAGGAACTGTGGTCTTTCACTGCATCAATTTTTGGAAAAAGCTACTATTGTATATGTTACATTTCAGCTCATTTTTCACATAAGAAGATAGAATTATAATTCCTTTTTGACATTGATAATGGGTATTGTGATGTCTTTGTTTCTCATAGGATTTGATAATTTTTCATGTGCAGATTGAGAGTGAGATTCTGTGTTAATATTTGCATGTGTGTCAACATTAATTTCACTTCACATATACACAAAACACACTTTAAAGTATAACACTGCATCTCTCACCCACTCATGTTCTCTTGTATGAACACAACCTCACTGATAAGTAAGAAAGCTATATTGTCTGATGTAATATCCTGTCCTCTCTAGAAAATTGGCCCAGAGGTAGTGATGCCAGATATATGAGAGATCACAGCTACAGGCACTGGGAATTAAGATAGGAAATCTGTGGGGAAAAGCCCCAAAACTCAGTATGTTGTAACCCGCGGTTTTGCAGATGAGACCAGAGACCGGATGGTAAAAATAAAGAGGAGTTTATTAACCTGCAGGATTTCCTGCAGGGACCAACATTCATGGTTAGAATGCGGCCCTGAACAGAGTTGGAATGAGGTTTTTATAGCTTCACAGTGAGCTTTCGGTAAATGGGAAACAATACAATCAGTTTTTGACAAAAATCAGAACAATGGCGACAACGGGAAGTTACAAAATCACATAGCAGCAGTTAAGCAAGTGATATACAGAAGCAGATTTGATTAGCAGTAAGTTTTATCTTTTAATTTACACCTTCTAAGCAATCTTTGTCCATTACGTTGTAGGTAAGCTCTTTCCACTTTCCAAGGGGAATTCTCTGAGGCAGTTACTAGACATTTGAATGGGCTAGAGCTTAAGAGAGCTAAGCCTATCATGCATACCCTGAGACAGTTTGATTATTCTAGTGTTTGGCCGTGTCATGCCTATCTGGAGCCTAGAGGAGTCATGCCTATCCTGAATGCCCTGAGAAAGCTGATAGATATTTCTATTATGTCAGGATCCTGGGGAGTCAGGCATAACATTCCTCACTGGTCTTAATGGGAATCAAGTCATTGATTCTGAGGTAGGGTCTGGGGCGGCAGCTGAACCAGGAGAATCTCCAGTGGCCCTACTGGTCTTTAGGGTGATTTCCTTAGCAGTTTTATCAGCAAAATCAAAAAAAAAAATGGAAAACAGTTGGAAAAGCAGCAAAGAAAAAATTCAACACACATGATATGCAACCCCAATGCTAGTAGTCCTCCTGGGAAACTCCATGCTGATTTTGGCCTTCCTTTGGCTGCAAAGAACTCAGAGCCAGCCAGCTCTCATCCTCACCTGTTCCCCCACCTCTCCAGTTTTGCCACTCAATTTTGAGGCCTGGTTCCTTTGCTCCCTAGGCCTCCTCTGACCCATTGCGGCCTTAGGCATTTCATCCTCGTCTGGGCTGAGGCCCTCACGGTGATGACTATCCTGTTTTAGGCCACCATTCCTTCTGGTCAGCAAACTAGGTGCTTGCAAGGTGGGAGCAGTGTGAGGTGAAGCAATGACCTGATGTCCAGTTCTCACGGTTGGCCTGGTTAGTTCTTTCCTTGTGGATGAAGCAATAAAGAAGGCAGAACACAGGAATGAATTCCCATCAGTCACTTCAGTTCCTGGAACCAGGGCGTAGCATGGGACATGGAGGGCTTTTCCTTCCAGGGCTGTAGAGAAAAAGAGTCTTTTTTTGTTTTCCTTTTCTGAGGTGCCAGCGTGGCTTGTTTGGTTCCTGGAAGGGTGCAGCTCAAAAACAGGTTAATTAAGAGGAAAAAAAGCTTTTATACTTCTCCACAGAAGCTAGTTGTAGACAGTAGCAGAGATCCACATGAGTTTGGAGAGAAACCTCAAGATGTAAAAGTCTGTCCTTTCTTTAGCACAGTCTCAAGAAGAAAATGTGGGTTGCTGAAATCAATCCAATCAATGTAAAAATGCACAAAAAATAAATCCTTTGTTGAACTGGTGTTGCATGAACCTGTTGCTTGCCTAGGCTAAAAAGAAAGGTGCTTTCTGCTGGACAATCAGAACAGTTTTACACAGTTTCTTATTACAGGGATGATACTCTCCCACACAGATGCAAAATGCACCAACACATTGTTAGCACAAACAAACCTGAAGTTATGGGAGGCTTCAAATACAGACTGCTGGCATTTTTTATGCTATCCACACACATTTTTTACAAATGGTAACAGCAGAGGTACAATCTCACCCTCA